TACCATTACTGCTGTTCAGCGGCATCAGAAGTGAGCTTGCACACGAAAGCTTATACCGTGAATAAAACTTTGTTGGTCTTAAAGGAGCCACTGGACTCAGACTTTGTTCTGCCACTTCAGACCAACAAGGCTACCCCACCTGATGCTATTCAGTGTGACATCATCATCAAGCTATGCCCCAGAAGTGTCAACGTTTGGGAGGCTGGGGATTTGCCAACCCTGAGGGCTGAGGTAACCAAATGTGTTTTAAATTGCCATTGAGTTAACTGTGCACATTAAGCTTGCACTGGAATAAATGGACCTTAAAGGTGCTTACCTTTCAAAGTGCTGGCTTGTGCTCTTAGCATTAATAAAGCACATTCCTGTGTTCAAAGTGCGTCACATACATGATCTCAGTCATCTTCAAAATAATTCTGTAACTACCCTCATGTTGTTATCACTGTATGTACAGAGGGAGCTGAGAGAACCATGGCTTGAGGTTTGAATGAGGAACACAGCTTTGTGAGGCTGCAAAAGGCATCACATAATGGGGAAACTGTTACTGCCCCTGCTCCAACAGCAGCATGCTGAAGAAATTTAGGTTAAAGGTTTACAATATATCCCTACCAGAGAAACCTTACCTGCTATTCTTGTCATGTTTAGCCACTATTAAAGACACAGGCGCAGGGCTGGTACAAAAGCTGGCAACCTAAAAATATAAAGGACTCCTTTGGCACCTTAAGATAAATAGGTTTATTGTTGCCTAGAGGCTGCCTCATCAGATACATGAATGGGTTCTTCAGGCAGTTACAGGGAATAATTTGTAAAAAAAGAGATGCCAAAGGTCCTGAAATTCACACAGATGTACAGGCACATGCAAACTTCCCTAAGTGGGGATAAAAGCAACAGGGCAAGAGAGCAATTCTCAGTAGGAAAACTGTGCAAGGGGTGTTAAATAGTCCGTCTTCCCATCAGCAGCGGTTTCTCCTTGCAAATCACAGTTTTATAACAAACAAAGTCTTCAAGACCGAAATGTTCCAAACTGCTGAAGGGACTTGTGCAGAAGATTCCCCTTGGGTTGCCACATTTTTTCCTAGCGGGCCTCCTGTGCCTTTTTAACAGCCGCCTGATGTACAGAAACGCAGCAGGCGTACGTTGCCCTGTGCACAGAATGCAGGGGGAAACCGCACCTCATGGATTTCGGCCTATAACGCCGCTGTTCAGAGACCATGGCCCGTATGGAAACCAATCTGTCAAGGCTACGTATTACTGCCGCAAAATTATTTGAAAGCGGCCTATCCTAGGCCTGAGAGACGCCTAGTCGCTGCCAGCAGGGTGTCTATTGCAACCGCCTCCCCCAAATATCCGCTACACGCCGGAGTTCCGACCTTTGCGAGGCCGAGTTGAATCCAGAGGTGGTTCTTGTTTTGTTTTTAATTAGCTTCTTCAGCAGATCTCTTTGATACTCTTATTTTATTCTAATCAGGCTCTGGTATAGGCAGGCGGTCCCAGAAGCCCGCGGGGTCCTCACGGCGGAGCCGTTTTCCGACCTCCGGCCCGCCCCTCCCACCCGGAAGCTGCGCGCTTTCTGCTGTGGCCGTCGCTTGGAGTAGTCGCGTGGCCCCTCCCCCTTGCAGAAGGTAAGATGCTCGCTCGTAATCGTCTCCCTATCCGCAGTTTCTTCAGCCATCCGCCCCGTGAACGGGGATATATAAATTCTATAAGCGATTCCCTCTCCGATGGTTAGTGTATGGGAGGGTCATTCCCCCGTCCGGGTGCTCCAAAATCGACTTGGAAGAGGGGGTGGGGGCCTCCCCGCCGTTGTAGCTCTGAGTAATGGGAGCCAAGATGGCGCCCGGCTCTTTGTGGGCTGCTTCGCCCCCTTGCTTTGTTCGTAATCCAGGAACATCGACGTTGTTCGGCTTTCTGGGCCTTCCGTAGGCGGCTGTTTAGGGAGAGCTAACGCTCGCTTTCCCCTTTAGCCAGAAAGGGGTGGCGAAGCCAGAAACTTAGAGGGGTCGTTACCGGGGGCTACGTGCCCTCCCATCTTTCCAGCAGAGCGACCTCGAATACATAACGAAATTGGGGGCAGAGGGGCGATCACTTAGGGAGGGAGGTGTGGTGGAGCTCTTGCAGCCTCTGGGAGGGGAAGATGGAGCTGCAAAGGCATCGTGTACATCGCTTTTAGTGGGGAATCACGCGATGCAGGGGTTTGCACCGTCTGTCTGAATGGCGTTTCGAGTTCATGCCTTGGAAGGGTATTTTTGCATCCTTCCCCGCAACTTAGATGGAAAGCTAAGTTGGATGTGTGTCATGATGGGGATCTGGGGACTGTCGGGTCTGTTGGAATGGACACATGCAGCGCAATGAATGGTAGGCCGAAGTAGGTGTGACTGTTAATTTTCAGGTAAAATGTTCTCCGGGGTCTGTGGGTGTATGTGAACGATGCCTGTCTGTTTTTCTTGGAAGACAAATCCTTTCACACACTTGAGTTTTCAATAATCCTCGCACTATACTCCCTAAAACTAAAGGGATTAGAGTAGCTAACTTGCGTAGTGGAGTGATGTTCCTTGAGGAGTGGGTGGGATTATATAGGTAAGAAGGAAAAGCTGCTCCTGAATCGGCCTGGGAAGGTACTAGGAGTTGCGGATGAGGAGTCCTTTGTTGACCTCCCTGCTGTATTCTGATTTTTGTTCTTGGGAGGGGAGAGCGATGTGGAAGGAGTTTGGAATCAGTGTTTCTGAACTGCTGCTTGCTGCCTTCCATCCCACCCCTCTTGACCAACATCCTGTAAGAAATTGGGTATGGGAGCCATCTCAGAAACAGGGAGGTCTTGGTGATAGACGTGGAATGCAATTTAGTGCTACTCGACCCCTCGTTATTTTCCCTTGCTGTGAAGCAGTTTGATTTCCTAGTCTGCTGCTGTTTGCTGAGACCCATGGTGTATTACAAACCGTAGAGAATGGAGTAAAACGTTATATTGCATACAATGCAATAAAACTGCCTGAAACTTTCACAGGTATCAGAGTCCAACACACCCTTGTTTCCTTCATGAAAAATTTTCCTGCTGTTGATTGGATGCATTAAGCAGGGAGTTGGGGTCATCTGCATGGATAGGGAAGTGAGAAATCTGGCTCTGTTTCACTAAGTCCTGTCCCCCTCCAACCCTCAGTTTCCTTAGTTTTGAGGTGTTTGCTTAGATTGGAGTGGTGGTGCTTCTCTAGACCTTCATGGGTTGTGAAGAGCCAAGAAGAAGAGGAGGAGATTGGATTTATACCCCGCCCTTCACTACCCAAAGGTGTCTCAGAGCGGCTTACAAGCTCCTTTCCCTTCCCCCCTCCCCACAACAGACACCCTGTGAAGTAGGTGGGGCTGAAAGAGCTCTGACAGAAACTGCTCTTTTTCAAGAACAGCTGCGCCAGAACTTAGCGTTTTTTTGGGGGGTGGGTGGGAATAATCAGCCAGCGATTTTGTACACTTGCAGATTTAAGCCTTCCCCCATCATGTTGCCTGTTTGGAGCTTGTGCATAACTCTTGGTCCCTCTGCAGGCTTCTGTGGGATTTAAGCTATGCAAGGATGCTGGTGTCCTGCTTTTTTTCCTATTTAAACAGTGGGCGCAAGGATGTGATTCTGCCAAGATGTGGTACACATAGGGTGGATAGAGAAAAGGGAGGGGGGAAACACCCCAACAGAATTGAATCAAGTACCTGAAAGCAGTGCTCCCTCTAAGCTGTGGAGTCTTGTGAGCAAAAATTCTACTTTGTGAGCTGCTGGCATTAAAGTTGCGAGCGAGCCATTTGGCTACTGCATAAATCAGTTTGCTCTGGAGCCCTCCTTCCTGAGCAAAGACAAAAGTGTGTGAGCCGGAGGCTAAAAAACTGTGAGCTAGCTCACACTAAGCTTAGACGGAACACTGCCTGAAAGGTAAGTTAGAAAGCAAAAGCAGGGCCAAAATCAAAAATAAAATACAAACTAGTTGTACATAAAAAGACATGTATTTATTACAAAGACATTTAAAAGCATCTCGGGGCCCAACATGAGCCTCAAAATAAAGTAAAAAGTAACGTGTGTCCAAGAGAAAACAATAGTGACCTAACACATTTCGAGACAATTGGGCCTTCCTCAGAGGTCAAACAATAGAAGGTACAAATAGGCTCTTGTTACAATCAAAAGACAATACACAAGTAGATATGGGACCAAAAGAAGACTGTTCAAAAAGAAATCAAAACGCACAAGAAAAATTCTTTATGTGAGGCCTCCTAGGATCTAGCCTTGTGTCAAACAAAGATGCACACGAGTTGCATGATATTGCTATTGTGTGCCTTCCCCAGTTTTGGTCCAAAAAGTCTAGGTGTGAAGTGTTGGCTCTGATAAGGTGCCAATTGCGTTGAAATGTGTTAGGTCGCTATTGTTTTCTCTTGGACACATGTTACTTTTTACTTTATTTTGAGGCTCATGTTGGGCCCTGAGATGCTTTTAAATGTTTGTAATAAATACATGTATTTTACGTAGGGTGGAAAGGTTTTTTCCGCACATTATCCATGCTGTGCTTGTGTTAATGGAAGCAGACAGTGATGGGTTATTTCACATTTCTCTAATCACAGTGGCTACTAGCCATCCACTGCTCCTTCTAGTGTCTCTTTATATCAATTGTTGGGCAGCACGGGGGGGGGATACTGTTGCATTCATCCTGTGAATGGGCTCCCTAGAGGCAGCTGAATGCTGGTTTGAAGGACCTTTGGTCTCATCCAGCATCCCTCTTCTTCTTATGTTGGCCATAGTTCTTAACATGTTAATGCTCCTTAACAAGTGATGCATGCCTTTTAAGGAGTGCTATATGAAGTGAAGTTATCCTCTCAGTTTTCTTTGAGTAAGACGTCCTGTCTGTGATGGGCTCAAACACTTCTGCATGAAGGCAGAAAGATTCTCTCCTGGTGCTTTTTCACTGCAGGAGAAAGAGCTTTCCCCCCTCTTTTTACTGTCTATTTAATATACCCTGGTTTGATTTCTTTTGAATCAGGAGAGTTCGTCCCCCCTTCCCCTTGAGTCTCATTTCCACACCACTCTTCTCAGTTCGTCAAGAGAGGCATCGATCACCATGACCGAGAATGACGTTGACAACGAGCTCTTGGATTACGAGGACGATGAGGTTGAAAATCAGGCAGCGGGAGACGGGGTGGACGTCCCGTCCAAGAAGGACGTCAAGGGCTCCTATGTCTCCATCCACAGTTCTGGGTTTCGCGATTTTTTGCTGAAGCCAGAGCTGCTGCGTGCCATTGTTGACTGTGGCTTTGAGCACCCCTCAGAAGGTAAAAGCTCATAGGTCTGTGGAAGATGATACTTTAAGAAGCTATTGGGGAGGGAGCTTGAATGCAAGGGCTGGGGGGGGTGTCCCTGCAGCAGTGGCGAAGATGCTGACTTCGTTTCCATTCTCAAACGCAGTACAACACGAGTGCATCCCGCAGGCCATCCTGGGCATGGACGTCCTCTGCCAGGCCAAGTCGGGCATGGGCAAGACCGCCGTCTTTGTTCTCGCTACACTACAGCAGCTGGAGCCGGTCACGGGACAGGTAGGTCCGGGAAGGGAACAGCTACCTGGCAGGAGCAGAATCAGCATGAAAAGTGGCCGAGGGAAGCGAACTTGGGGGAGGGAGTCAGTGGGAGTCCCAGTGTACGAATGAAGGAAAGGGCTCAGCCTGTTTCCGTGACAATTAACAATACCGTAATATCACATCCTTCCCACTTTTTTTTTTTGGCTCGTTCAGTGCCTGGTTTGCCATCGGGCTGTTTCTCTATCCTGGCTGCCAGACTTTGTGCAATGAGTTCAGGTTTTTGCCTGATGCAGTTTGCCAGTTTGGCATAGTGGGGGTAGCCTCATAGAAAAAGTGTTGCTTTTTTCTCTATCTCATTCTTCCCCCTCTTTGTTATGAATTGCATCTGGCCGTCGCCCTCCCCGGGATGGGATGGGTCTGGTCAGTGCTGGGAGCTGAAGCGGTCTTGTAAGGAGCTGCTTCCCCTTCTTGTTCAGCTGAATGGTCCTGTTCGGCTGCCTCATTCTTCCCTTTTTGCTTGCCCCGCCCAGGTGTCTGTGTTCTTTGGAGGCCTGTCCATCAAGAAGGACGAGGAGGTGCTGAAGAAGAACTGCCCCCACATTGTGGTGGGGACCCCGGGCCGCATCCTGGCCTTGGCCCGCAACAAGAGCCTCAACCTCAAGCACATCAAGCATTTCATCCTGGACGAATGCGACAAGATGCTCGAACAGCTCGGTGAGTTGGGGCCGAGAGCCCGGCCCTTGAGAGGCAGGCAGAGGTGTGGAGGGCAGCTGAGAGCTGGCCTCTCGGGAGGCGGCGTTCCATGGGCAAAATGGCCGGTGGCAGCTTTTTCCGGACAGGTGGGGCAGCTTCAGTTTTCTGTACTGCTGGAATGTCCCTTTGTGTTTGGGAGTTCGCTCTCTCCTTTCTTGGCAGGGTGGTGCTTTTGGTTCACACCACCGGGAGATTAGCTTTTGGAAGGTGCTGCTGCTGTTTCTGGGAGTCTGTCCTTTTCAGCCTCACTAAGGAGAATGATGCAGGCTAGACCAGCCAGACTTTCTTTAATGGAATGTCCCTTTGTGTTTGGGAGTTCGGTCTCTCCTTTCTTGGCTGGGTGGTGCTTTTGGTTCCCCACCACCGGGAGACTAGCTTTTGGAAGGTGCTGCTGTTGTTTCTGGGAGTCTGTCCTTTCCAGCCTCACTAAGGAGAATGATGCAGGCTAGACCAGCCAGCCTTTCTTAAAGTGGTCCAGGCCCCCCCAAAAAAGCTCCGTAACAGGGTTGTGCATTCTTTGGAACTCAAAATTGCTGCATCAGGCCACACAAAGTACTCCTTGCTCTCATCACGGATTAGATACAGTTATGGGTAGCTGATGAAGAGACAGCTGTGACTCTCAAAAGCTGATGCCCTAGAAATCTTGTTGGCTTCTAAAGTTCTGCTGGGATGAGTCTTACGCTTCTAGCTACAGTACAGCTCTTCCAGCTGGGATTAAGACATAAGAACATAAGAGACGCCAATGTTGGATCAGGCCAAAGGCCCATCCAGTCCAACACTCTGTGTCACACAGTGGCCAGAAATACCAGTGCCATCAGGTGACACTGAGAGGGTATCGCAGCGTTCTTGTTGACTTTGCCTTTTGGAGCAGAAGTGACCCTTCTCCACCCTTCCCCTCCCCAGTAGGCAGGGCCATGCTGGAGGAAGCCCTCTTTGAAGCATGTTCCCATAAGAGACAGTTGTGGGGTACAGTCATATATGCTTTAAAGAATAGTCTCGGCTGCTGTTTCTGCCTACCGCTCCCAATGACTTTGTTTATGGAGGCAAAGCCTGGGAGTAGGAAAGAAGAGAAGATCCTTTTGAGTTCTGATCTCTTTGTCCTTTTCTTCCCCCCTTTACAGATATGCGCCGGGATGTCCAGGAGATCTTCCGCATGACCCTGCACGAAAAGCAGGTCATGATGTTCAGTGCCACTCTCAGCAAGGAAATCCGCCCCGTGTGCCGCAAATTCATGCAAGACGTAATTAAATCCCTTCTACCTTCTTTATCCACCTGGCCAGCCGGCCAGCCTCCCTCCCTCCCCATCCAGGGAAGGAGCAGGGGCGTGGAGCATAGGACGCCACCCTTGTCTACAGTGCACCGGGCCGCATCGCTGCTGCCCGTTGCCTCCCCCGATCCCTTTCAGGCACTCGTAGGGCACACACTTTCCGGAAGATCATTCGGGTGACACTAGCCAGCCATACCCACACACACGAACGACAGGCCTCTCCCGATAGGGCTGGAGAGTGCTCAGACCGTAACCTGGGTCTGCCCAGCCGGCACGCTTAGCTTAGAGATCGTCCACACTGTTGCGGGGGGATCCATCCCAGAAGGATCCTCTGGTGCCTTCCACACCTGGCAGGCGGCGCAGAATTCACCGCGCCTCTCCTGCCATCCTGTTTCCCTGAACTCCCTCTGCGTGGATCCATCTACCCGGTGGCACCGTGTTCCGAAGATCCCGGCCCCCACAACACGCATGTTCAGAAGATCCTGGCCCACGCGCCCCCAGGCAGATGTAGCTCTCGTTTCCTCACCGCCACGCACTCATCAGGTGCACGCACTTGGCCGCCCGCACGTACACGTTCCTGCCCTTGTTGCCCTCCCCGCCCACCCTGGCTGGCACTCCGGAGACCTGCGGCGAAGGACTCCTCGCGAGAGATCCGAGAGAGCGGCAGCAGCCAGTGGAGCAGATGCCTGGCGATCCGGAGGAGAAGTTTTATCCTTTTTTTCTTCTGAACTGGCAAAAACAATTTCGTTTTCTTTCTGAGCTTGTTATCCCTTTCTTTTCCCGCCACCCTCCTCGGGGAAAGGGATTGTTTTTAATGACAGGGCCCCCAATGTGGGAGGGGAAGCTGCCAGCTCACGCGATAGGGAAAGGTGGTTGTCGTCACTTTGTGTAACGTGGGTGTAGGAATATGCCCAGTTAGTCAAATGGTGAGACTTTGGGGTTACCTGGAGGCAGGAGTTCCTGGGAAGAGGAGGCCTGATCAGAAGCAGCGGCTTTCGTTTGCTTGGGTGGGCGGGGTCAGGAGAGGCCGTTTCCTTTCTGCTCCCCCCCCCCCATGTCTTTTGAGGCAGTCAGACACCAGAGACCAGGTCACTAGGCAGTTAACCTGGGAGCCCAGTGCATGCTGGGGGATGTGGTGTGGGGAAGGTGTTGTGGGACTCTGGAGGAGTCCCAGTGCTTGTTGGGAAGGTCAGAGGGAGAGTATAGTTAAGGTGGCTGGAGCTTTCGTATAGACAACCGGTCTGTTTCTTCTGTGAGTGTTTTGGTATGTTGAGTCCAGGTTGGGCAAAAAAAAAAGGAAGGCAGTGAGGAAGGTGGGGGGACCCAAGTTTCCCTGTTAGGCTTTGTGGGAGAAGATGTCTCCCGTGTTTTTAAAACTCATAGCCTGGCCTTCAGACTGGCTGATAGGTTAGCCCTGGGCAAAGAGGGGAAGACTTGACCATTGGCGGCATTGGCCCTTTATCCCAGCGTGCTTTGCCTGAGGAGGTCTTAGCTGAATGGGAAGAGCACTGCTTCCCGGGATGCCTTGCATGAAAGCTCTTGGCTGTTTGACTCGAGAGGCGAATGGGGTAGGCCATCTCTGCTTTTCCTCTTTTTCTGAAGGGCTCTAAGATCGGGGGGGTGGGGGTGGATGTGTGCGTATTGTAGGGCAAGGGGTGCGTTTGCAAGCGAGTGAGAGACGCTCCTGTGCGCGCTTGTGCTGCTTTGTCCCCCTCCCTCCGAGCCCAGGTCAGCTCTGTCCTGGTCTAACCGGCCCTGGGTTTGCTCCTCAGCCCATGGAGATCTTCGTGGACGACGAGACCAAGCTGACGCTGCACGGGCTGCAGCAGTACTATGTCAAATTGAAAGACAACGAGAAGAACCGCAAGCTCTTTGACCTGCTCGATGTGCTGGAATTCAACCAGGTGCCTCCGCGGGAGTAGACACCCGTTGCTTCAGGGACCCGGGGGGGGGGGGCGTTGCAACTGGAGGTGTAGAACAGATTTCGCTGGAACTGGGCAGCCTTTTCTTTTCTGCTGCTCTGAAAACCAGAAGGTTAATTTGGTTGAATGTAGGGAGGGGGAAAAGGTGGCATTAACTCTCTAGAGGCCTTTTTAAGCTGGCACAAAATGGCAAATTGGTGTCTTCTTTGTGGCTTCTCCCATCAACCACAAGGGTGTGAACTGTAAAATAAAGCAGGGCACAACCCCACCAGTGCCAGTTGCTGTAGAGGTAGTTGGGGGGGGGGAGTGGGTTAGGATCTAGATAAGCGGTCCCTGCATTTCAAATGATTTGGAAAGAACTGAGTGGGTCCACTCCTATTGAAAAGCGGCCTTTTTGCCGGGGCGGCCGGTTGACCTACCCAGTTGGCGACGGCTGCCAGTTTCAGTGGGTCTTGAAGGGTGCAGAAGTGTTCACGGCTACTGGCTTGGAGAGATGGCACTGGGTAGACTTGTGTGATCATGGCTATCATACAGTTCTGTGACTTAGAGTTTTAAGAAGTGACGCCACGTCTGATCACCAGTGGAAGCAGCAAGCAGGAGGGCCCGTGAATTTCTTAAGCGTTGTGACTGGGCTTCCTGGTTAGAGCCCAAAAGGGCGGAGGTGAAGCTTGACCAGCACCTGAACTGCCTGCACAGAGTGGCCTTGGGAGTTGCTCTTGATGTCTGCTCGTGATCCTCTCGGAGAAGGACTGCGCAGGAGAGGGGCATCCTCAGGCATAACACCCAGAGGCTCCCCAAGCTGTTGCGTGGATGTGACCGTCCGTTCCCTTCCCCATCCAGGTGGTGATCTTTGTGAAGTCCGTGCAGCGCTGCATAGCATTGGCTCAGCTTCTGGTGGAGCAGAACTTCCCGGCCATTGCCATACACAGGGGGATGCCCCAGGAGGAGAGGTGAGGAAAAGCCCCAAGCCGGGACCTGGAGCAGGCGGTTCACTGAGGGGGGCTCACTTGCTGTGATGAGTTTGCTCAGACTAGAGTCTCTGACTCCTTCAGTGATGCTTCTCGAAGCCCTGAGCGATGGCCCCCCCGCAGTAGCCTCTTGGCTGTCCCTTAAGCGGAGGTTGGTGCTTTTGCCAGATGGTGAAGGCACTCCATCGTGAGCAAAGGATGTTGTCTTAAACTCTTCCCGGGTCTTGCAGGTTGTCACGTTACCAACAGTTCAAGGATTTCCAGCGCCGTATCTTGGTGGCCACCAATCTCTTTGGCCGTGGCATGGACATTGAGCGAGTCAACATTGCCTTCAACTACGACATGCCGGAGGATTCGGATACCTACCTGCACCGGGTGAGTGAGGCAGGCAAGCCGGAGAACGGGCTCCAGAGTTGGGGGTCGAGTTGGGTGAGGAGAAGGGGGCAGAGACCCCCGTGTTGCGCTGATGAGTTTGCTTCAGACTAGAGTCTCTGAGATGTTCTGATGTCTCTTTCAAGCCCTGAGCAGCAACGTTCTGGCCTTGGTGGGTTTGGATGTGTCCCAGCGTCTTAGCAGTCGTCTGAGGCGGAGCAGGAATTTTGAAGCCCTGTCCCCCTTCGTGGGGGCTCAGAGCCAGGATGGCAGGGGAAAGTACCCGGTCCCATCTCCGTTTTTCTTTGCGGATGCTCCGCAGGTGGCTCGTGCCGGGCGCTTCGGCACAAAGGGCCTGGCCATCACTTTTGTGTCGGATGAGAACGATGCCAAGATCCTGAACGAAGTGCAGGACCGCTTTGAGGTGAACATCAGTGAGCTGCCCGATGAGATCGACATCTCTTCTTACAGTGAGTTGCGGCAGTGTGAATTTTTGGGACAGTGAAAGAGTGGATGTGCAGCAATGGTGGGCTTGAGTCGGAAAGCCAGGCCTGGGGCAGCGGCGGGGGAGGGATAGCTGGCTAAGTAAGCAGGATTGTCTTCAGCTTTGGGTGGATTTGCAAAGCGAACCATGGAAGAATACCGCAAACAGCCTGCTGGTGTAGTGAGAAATGTTACTTGCAGAAGGGGGAGGAGTGAACCCTGTGCAGGGGAGGAGGAGGTATTTGTGAATTTCCTGCATTGTGCAGGGGGTTGGACTAGATGACCCTGGAGGTCCCTTCCAGCTCTGTGACTCTTAAGGTCTGAGGTGTGGTGGGGAAGGATGCTCAGAACCCCCCAAAACATCTATAATAACCCCCAAGCATGCCCCACTTAACTCATTTGTGTCTCCTTACAGTTGAACAGACCCGATAAAGGGGACCTTTCCTCTTCTACATCAACCTTGGTTTTAATCCCTGACCTCTTCCGCTTTCCTGAAAACTCCACGTTTAATTTCACTTGACGGAGCACGAAGTGGCTTTGACCATCCGGAGATCACCCGTTCGCACCACTCCGACGAGGGGGACAGAAGAGCCACTGTCAGTAAGCTGTGTGTAGTGCCCGGAGGCCTGAGGGGAGAGCCTGCTGGGCGGGAGTCCCATTGCCCGGCTGGCCACCAACGAGAGAAGGTCTCGGTGCCTCTCCAGGGGTGCCCCCCCACCTCCTCCTCCAGACGGATATCTCCACTATCTACCAGCAGGATGTTGGGACTCCACCAGTTACTACATAGCAGAACAACACCACAGTTAACGTCGCTTCACTTTGTCCTTACGTCGGCATTACGCAGAGATCTGCCTCCATGACGGGAAGCACAAAAGGGGATGAGTTCTGGCAGGGGTGCTCTGTGAATCCCCTGGCATCGAGAATCACATTATTATTTTCTAGAAAAAAAACCCCTCTTGGGAGGGGGGAAAAACTAAAAATATGACTCTTCTTTTGTATGCCCATTCATGCTGTTTTTAAGACTGTTTTGTGTTTTCCTGTATGTGCGTGCCCCGTTTTTTTTTTTATATAAAGAAATGTGTCTGCATGTAAAAATTAACCCCCTATCCTAGGTGGTGTATCTTGGCGGGTAAGCTAGTAGTGAAAGACTGACATATTAGCTGTGGCTCGTTCTATTCCCCCTTGATTCTCCCCCATCCACCTTTTTTTTTGTAATAAAGAAGCCCAGATCTTATGGGTATCTAATTAAACTAGTCTTGTGAATAACCTGCTGCTGGCATAGCTTTGTTCTTTGGGATGGAGCTTTCTCCTGGTCACGTTGGGTTACGACCGGGGTGTCAAACTCATTTGTTATGAGGGCCAGATTTGACATAAATGGGCCAGGTCATGTGTGCCATAAAGTGTAATGCAAGATACCAGAGATATAAACTGTATAAAGGCCACAGGCAAACCCAATTAATGATTATTATTTTTTAACTCAAAACAGAAACATGCCTCAAAGACAAATCAGTTTTGATATATTGACTTTCTGAGATCTTCCAGGGGGAAAAAAATGTAAAGTCTTCAGGATGCAGCCAAAAAATTCCCCAGCTTAATCAGAGCTCCTCGTGCTATCTGTCTTCCTGACTACCTATCTATCCATTTTGCAGCTGAACAAGCAAGCTGTTTCTCCTCTAGATGAGGGGAGAGAGACAAAACCTTGTCGTCCCCGGCACCCCCTGCGTAGCTGCCGTGTCCACCCCATCCATCCGAGATCTGGCAAGGAACCAGGTGGCCCAGCTGACTACATTAAGATCAAGCACCCTAGAATGGAGCTGCATGTCGTGGAGGCCAATTGGGGCCCCAGGGCTCGTTGCATCTGCTCCTTGTGCACACCACAGGGGCCCTCCCCCAAGCCATTTGGGTCAACCGCTGCTGAAACGAAGTCCCTGCCAGTGACCCCCCGCGAGGAACCTCTCCGGCTCTCCCAGTTCCCTCACCATCAAACCCTCCCCCCTGCTGTTAGCCACATCCTGCCGCTGTGACCCGGCTCCTGGCCTCCGCAGTGACTCCTCTGTTCCCTGCCACCAGCTCACAAAAAGGATGAGCCTGCCCAGTGGTCCCAACTGCCGCTTCTCACCTGCGCTCCTAGCAGCCCCCTGAAAGAAAGCTGCCAGCCGCAGGACCAATAAGGCCTGCGAGACTACGGAGCACACAGCAATCCTGGCCTCCTCACTTTCCATTGGGCTCCCCCACCCCACCAGTCTACCACAGTCAGCAGTGTGTGTGTGTGTCCCCAGCTTGCGGTAGCTGCTTCCACACCCCAGCCTCACTACCCCAGCGGCCGGTGCCACAGTTCAGGCTGCTGCAGCCAGTTCAAACTGGTCCGCGTGCTCCACAGGGGCACGGTGCGGGGAGAGGAGATATCGTATAGTGACCTAAACAGCCACTCTTCACGCCGAGGCTTTCCCTCCCCTTGCTGCCCTCAGCCCCTGGCTCACCCCAGCACCTGCCCTCGCCCCTAAACCCAGGATGCCACTGCTGTTAGTCATGCAGCCATGTCCATGCCAAAGCAGCCCACCCAGTCCCTGGAAGGTGATGGAAGGAGTGGAGCTCATACCACACCTCCACAGCCCAGCAAAGTGCTGCATATCCCCATGAGAGGCAGGGGAGAAGGGGCGCACACAGTGATCTTGACTGCTGAATCTCCTGATGGCCCCCCATGCCACTTTGCTCAACCACTACACCAAACACTACACCAAACAGCCACTCTTCATGCCGAGGCTTTCCCTCCCCTTGCTGCCCTCGGCCCCTGGCTCACCCCAGCATCTGCCCTCGCCCCTAAACCCAGGATGCCAGTGCTGTTAGTCATGCAGCCATGTCCATGCCAAAGCAGCCTGATGGCCCCCCATGCCACTTTGCCCAGGCTCCTCAGCCCCCACCCGCCAACTCGGGCCTCTGCAAGTCCAGGCCATTAATCCATACCCCGAGGACTGAGATGGGTGGCTGAACTTACCCCCCAGCCGCCTCATTTCGCCGCTGCTGCTCCCGAGCTCGACAATTGACGTGGCTGACCTGAACTCCAAAAAAAGCTGGCCTAGGTGCATGTGGGCTCTGCTCACATTGGGCAGGCATGTGGAGTGGCGAAATGGAGCAGAGACAAAGTGATCCCCCACGGCTAGGTGAGGAGGTCCCAGCGGCACAGAGCAAAACCCCCTGGTGGTCCCTCCCACTTCTTTGAGACCAGTTTAGGCCCAGCCATAGGTCTGCTTGGGAAGGGGACAGCCAGACTTCCCCAATGCTGCTGCCGCCACCCAACCCTTCAAATACCCTGCAGCCCAAATCACTTTACCAGACGTGGCCACAGTGGCCTCCCCTTGCCCTGCTGGCTGACCCCCATGTAGGACTGGAAACCGGGCCCACAGTGAGTTATGCCCCCCCATGTGGGCAAGTTGCTCACGGTCCAGATAAGAGCCCTGCAAGGGTCGGTTCTGGCCTGCGGGCCATATGTTTGACACCCCTGGGGTATGACATTAGTATATCCATTTTATTAGGAAAATCAATTACAACCATTTGATGGTGCCATCTTGTACCACCAAGGAAGGGAACTGGAGCAAGGGAGTGAGAAATTATATAACAACGAGGATGTGTAGAATCAAATAAGTTCGAAAACGGGGGCAATGGATGGATGCTTAGCCCAAAGGGTTACTTAAGGTGGGGGTATACTACTACCCACCAGTGTTCCCTCTAAGCTGAGTTAGTGAGAGCTAGCTCACAGTTTTTTAGTCTCCAGCTCACACATTTTTGTCTTGGCTCAGGAAGGATGGCTCCAGAATAAACCATGCAGTAGCCAAATCACAACTTTAATGCCAGTAGCTCACAAGGCACAATTTTTCCTCACAAGACTCCATAGCTTAGAGGGAGCATTGCTGCCCACCTGATCAAACCCTTGAGGGTGATCTTGAGGTGGTGAAGGAAGTACGACTTGCATAAAGCAGGTAATGTGATACTGAGAGACTTCAACTAGCCTCACATTGTGTAAACCTGGACTTCAGGAATGGGATTTTCAAGACATCATTAATGACTGCACTGGAGCAGCTGGTCACAAAAGCCAACTAGAGAGAGGGGTAATGATCTTGGACTTAGGGTTCAAGAAGACCTGGGTGAGAGATGTAGAGGTTGTGGCACCAGTTGGGAACAGTGACCACATTTCTATTAAGTTCAGCATTCAGATAAATGGAAAGTTATCCCTAAAGTCCAAAACGGTAACATTTGATTCCAGAAAGTTCTTTTAAGAACTCAAATGTGACACTGTCATTCCACTAACCCAGTGGTTCTCAACCTTTTCTGTTCCTGTGGGCACCTTTGGAATTCTGCCACAGAACAGCTGCTGCGGGAGGGGGAGCCACGCACAGGTATAATCATAGCCTCCACTGTCCAAAGCAGCCATTTTCTCCAGGGGAGCTGATCTCTGTCAGCTGGAGATCAGTTGTAAAAGCGGGAGATCTCCAGGCCCCACCTGGAGGCTGAACAACCAATAAAAACTGCAACAGCGATATAATGACTAAGATATTATTTTATGGAAATTTTAATTAAAAATTATAAAAATTCCCATAAAATAATCTTAGTAATTATATCATGGTTGTTTGTATAGTTTTGATTGTTCGCTCAGCTTCTCCCCTGATCTCCTACCTGGAGGCTGGCAACCAGTGTTCCCTCTAAGCTGAGTTAGTGTGAGCTAGCTCACAGTTTTTTAGCCTCCAGCTCACACATTTTTGTCTTAGCTCAGAAAGGATGGCTCCGTCTGGAGCCCTCCTTCCTGTGCTAAGACAAAAATGTGAGAGCCGGAGGCTGAAAAGCTAAGATAGCTCACACTAACTCAGCTTAGAGGGAACACTGCTCCAGAGCAAACTAATGCAGTAGGCAAATCACTTGCTCACAACTTCGATGCCAGCAGCTCACAAAGTAGAATTTTTACTCACAAGACTCCACAGCTTAGAGGGAGCATTGCGGGCAAGCAACCCTGTTTTAGAACGACTACAGAACTCCCGTCTTACTTGCTGTCACAATCCGCGACAGGTTTCGCTTGAGTCACAAAAACCTCAAAGCACCTGTTCCCATAGCAACAGAACACCCAACGGCCTTCCCACTCGTTGCCGAAAATAACCTTGCGCACTAGCTGCGAAGCCCCCTATTCCTTCTGAGGCTGTCGCTACGAAGTCCTGAAGGGTTATTCAATAAATTCTCCTTCAAGCCTGCTTTCCATTTTGGATAATATTTATAAACCTTGTGAAGTACCGCGTTAATCATTTCTGCGGTTCTTTTCAGGGTTTTTTTCCTCTTATATAGTAAGGCGTCATTTGAAATAGCTCTGAAGCCTGAGAGGGAGGGAGGAACGGGGATCGCATGGCGAGGAAGCCGTCAGAAACGTTCACGCCGGCGCAGCGGGCTTTCAGCCATCGTTATTTGGGGCACGAAGCCTCTTCCGACTGTCTTCCTGCCAGGTTAATGTTCTCATTTCTCTCGCGGTAGGAAATCACACTCATCCGCCGTATTTGTTAAGGACAGAGGGCGCTCTGTGATGAAAATATCGCCAACCCGCCAGTTTTTAAAATGAGCACAAACCAGTAGGTGTTGTAAGACCCAGTGATTTAACAAAAATCTGACAGACCTCTGGAGGAACAGACATGCTGTTTAAAACTGTAAAATTAAATTAGCAGTTCGAAAGCAAGACATTGCAAGCAGTGTTCCCTCTAAGCTGAGTTACTGTGAGCTAGCTCAGTGTTTTTTACCCACCGGCTCACACATTTTTGTCTTTGCTCAGGAAGGATGGCTCCAAAACAGACTAATTTATGCAGTAGCCAAATCACCTGCTCCCAACTTTAGTGCTAGTAGCTCACAAAGTAGAATTTTTGCTCACAAGACTCCACAGCTTAGAGGGAACATTGACAAGTAAATAAACAAGTACCACTTCGGTGGGAAGGTAACAGCGTTCCGTGCGCCTTGGCGTCTAGTCATGCCGGCCACATGACCACGGAAACATCTTCAGACAGCGCTGGCTCTTCGGCTTTGAAACGGAGATGAGCACCGCAACCCTAGAGTCGGACTCGACTGGCTTTCGAGCAAGGGAACCTTTACCTTTTTAAAAAGCCTCTTGGTTCTGAAAATCTGAGTCAAGGTGCTTTTTCTTTCCAACTTACGTCTTAAATTATGTCAACCAAGAAATAAAGCTTATTTCGTTTCCAAAATTTTTTAAATTCTCCTAGTA